CTACTAAATACATTAAATTGAGAATGCGATGACACAGCGATAAACACAGCTGATAATAATGAACCAAAACGCCAGATTGCACTAACGCAATCATTGGAATTTTATTCGCCACCGCTTGGCGGTAAGCCTACAACGTCCACCTCATCAGGAGGGTCGGAATCGAGTCTGCTAAACTCTTATTTGTTTTCACATGTTTTATTGTCAGCATAAAGTATGGTTGGAAGCTAGAACAGCAGTTCGTTTTTTAATCAATTGGAAAATAGCACGACAGTTGGCCAACCATTTGCTTCACTGATCATGTGATTGAATCTCCCGGTTATGAACCAAGCGTGCAAAGGTCATATTAGAACATTATGCCTCAGATAGCTGGATATCCACTCATATTCATCTGCTACAACACTATGAATAGCTTCGACCGGAATGTTTGTCAGCTTTTTCATATCTGTGCGTCGAAAATAAACCTCCATAAAATATTCCCTGCTTATTCGCAGTTGTTGGGTAGAGAAAAGGTATTATCCAAGGTGATGCATCCAGGCTGAAAGTCTGCTCTCGTTTGGAGTATTCTATTCTGAGGTAAGGAATAATGACGGAAATATGAATTTCAACGTTTTTATTAATATCTGTTAAAATGGAATACGTTTTCTCTCTCTCCCGTTCATTATTCCTGATGGGCTGGAAAAGAGACGCAGTCGTGGCACAGAGGAAACATTAAGCCTTGAAAAAGGGATGCGGAGGTGAATGGACAAAAATCACCCAACTCAGTGCGCACTGAGTTATAGAGTACTGAGTCATGTGGATGATGTCGTTTTTCTGGTTTTCTGCCACAATAATTTTCAATGCGATCTTGATCGCGTCAGAAGTATATGCGATGAGTCTTTGTAGAAAATCATCCCAACGCGAAGGCTTTAATGCTCTGGAAAAACGCTCTTCACTGGACTCGATCGAGAGAATGGGATCCATTGATCCATCCAAACGCAAGCAGCCAAAAACATTTTTCTCTGGGGGATTGCTGCTTTGATTAGGCATGAAGACGCTTGAAATATGGCAATTAATAAATATACTTTGACTTATGAACCTCAAATTCACCGAATCTAGAGGCCACAGCCACAATGGTATTGACGTGTACTGGAGTCCATACTAGAGGTCTGCCTAACAAACTTTCTTGGCAAAAGAGCATGGAAAACGTTCAATAGGCATACAACTCAATTGTATGAGACATGGTACTGTCGCACCTTAAAATCTAGCTCACTCTCTTTACCCAATTGGCGGAGGAACGAGGCAATTTTAGGAACATTCATACCCATCTGCCCCCCGTAAACCAAATGGAACAGCGAGTGGTGAAAGTAAGTAAATGAATGAATGGAGAGACGAATGAATTGAAGGCAGTGCAGTCAGTTATTGACCTTTTA